CCAGGGTGGAACTGGTGTTCACCAGATTAATATAGATTCTGGTTTGGCACTAGTACTGAGCCTGGAACTACTTGGCAAAAGGCTCAGAGAACACTGAGGCCAGCTGTTGCCTGCCTGGGGTCTGCCAACCCCAAGAGTTGTCCAAGAAAGACTGTAGCATGGGCTGCGGCCAGCTGCTGGATGCGCAAGTTCCTCCAGTGGCATGCACGTTGAGGCCAGATGCTTGTTGCTGAAAGAGCTTCCTGGGGTGTGCAGGGTGGGTCTGGCTGCTGGTCAGGGAAAGTGCTCCAGGTGGTGTGCAAGCTGGGTGGGGCAGGGTCCCAGGGAATCACCAGGCCAGTGCAGATTCAGATTTGGCCTTGTGAGGGGAGGGCTCATCATCAGAAATATGGCACCCACCTGCTGACTACATAGGAGGAGGGTTCTACACAATGAAAATGGCAACTGTCCCTCCTGTCCTCACCCTGAAGCCACATAATTCAGTCTCTCCCTGTATGTTTCTGGTACCTCCTGGGTCACCGTCCCTCTTCTGGAGCCCAGGGTGAATGCCTGTGAGCAAGTGAGTCTGTGCATGGGCCGTTTAAGAGGACGTCTGGGTTTCCAGCAGCTTTCTGTCTCACCCAGACTAGTGGAACCCCCACTGTTTTTCTCAACCAGATTTTGTGGGGCTCCACTTCCTAGCACTAGTATTCTGGGTAGTGGAGCCTAGTGTGGGACTGGGGTCCCTCTCTCCTGGGAGAGGGGACCTCTGCGACCAAGATATCCCTCCCAATTCTCAACTGCCACATGCAGGTGTGGGGCCAGCTGTTTCGCATCACCACCACCCCTCCTACCAGTCTCAACGTGGCTACTTCTTTATATCCTTAGTTATAGGACTTTTGTTCAGCTACTCTTCAGATGAAACTCCAGGTTGATTGTTCTACAATTTAGTTTTAATTTTAACATGACCATGGGAGGATGAAAGCACATCATTTATCTACTCCACCACTTTGCCCCCCTCCTTAATGTCTTTAAGTATGCTTCTTCCATATTATTTTTGATGGTCAATTGTATTTCAATAGGTAGATACATCTTAGTTTATTTATCCAGTCTCCATCTGTTAGATAATAGAATTGTTCCAAACTTTTCACTATATAAATAATATATTGATGGTCATCTTTGAAACTGAATCTGTTCTTTTTGAATGTCCTTGACAAATTGCTCAGGATACAAATAGTATTGGAAGTAATACTGTTGTGTTAAAAGATGTATTCATTTTTCGGGTTTTTGATGAAAGTTGCATAATTGTCACCCAGAAAAAAACTTACTAATAACTTTACCTATTTTTCTAATTCTTGCCAATACTCAGTGCTGTCATTTTAAAATATTCTTGCTAAATGAATATGTGAAATCTGATATATTATTTTAAATTATAATTCTTTTATCTAGTAAGTCTTATGGAGCATCTACTATATGCTAGGGATTGTGTTTGCCATTGAAGGTGCAATGATAAGAAGAAACAAATTTGGTTCCCTGTCTTCATGGATTTTAGAGTCTAGTGATGGAGACCAATATTAAGTAAAGAATCATACAAGTACGTGTATGCTTAAAACTGTAATAGTTACAAATAGAAGAGGTTCAGGGTACACTGAAATAGTGAAAAGGAGAAACTGACCAAGTTAAGAAAAGTTGGAGGTTAAGGGCTTCCCTAAGGAAGTGATGGTTGAGCTGAATTCTGAAGAAAGGGCAGGAGTTAATTAGGCAAACAGGTGGGGTAGCATTCTTGGCTGAATGCTTACTATAAGATAAGAGGAAATTTTAAGGGCCAAGTTTTGCATGGTCATGTTAACATTTGGGCTTTTATGGAAAGAGTAATAAGTCACTAAAGAGTTTTAAGTCAGAAAATGAAATGATCGATTTTTCTTCAAAAAGAAAGCTGTGGTGCTGAGGTAAAGCATAGACCTACATGGGGGCCACAGTGAATTTGGAAAAGGCAGTTAGAGAGATATTGCAGTAGTCCTGGCAAAAGATAGTGGTAGATTGAACTATGGATATAATGGTGAAGATAAAGACATAAGAACAACATTTAGAATTGGTTGGTAGATTAGAAATGGGAGATGAAAGTGAGGTGTCAGGGATAATGCTAAGATTTCTAGAAAAGATAAGATTTGAAGAAGGAGAATGATGATTCAGTTTGCTATATATGATGCTCTTGAGTCTCTTTTGAGATTTTAAAGTGAAGATTGTTTCTAGGAGGTTACAGCCCCTTGTCAAATGCTAATTAAGGTTTGAGTAAAGTGAAGACTTAAAAATGCTCATTAGATTTATGGGCATAAAAATTATTGTAACTCCAAAAAATGTTTTTCAGTGGAGCAAAAAATTAAAATAAGTCAATAAATGAGTCAGTGGTGGAGATGCAGACAAGAATAACAGAGAAATATCTTGTAACATATGACTATGAATGGGGAGGTGAGAGAAAGGAAATTAATAGAAATGCTATATCAAAGCAATGTTTTTTTAATAATATAGAAGATAATTTCAACATGTTTAATATATTTAAAAGCTGATAAGAAAGATCCAGTGAAGAATGAGAAATTTAATGTGAAATACAGAAAAAAATATTTTTAAATAAAGTTTTTAAGAAAGTGGGTTAAAATAGGAACCACAACACAGGTGATAGAATGAAAATAGCTATATTTGTATGCTAAATGATACAGGAGTTACTATGCATTTTCTCTGTCAAGTAGAATGCAAGGTCATCTTTTTGGGAAGGAAGGAAAAAGGGATGTTTGGAGATTGGAAGAGAGTGAAAACATTTGAAAAAGGCAATTCAAAGAGGAAGAAAATGAGTTTGCCAAGGTAATGTAGGAAGATTGTCAAGGTGGAGAGCTTATTTAAGATTGATATCTGTGAATTTGTAGTGACACATTATAGGGAAAGTTGGGGGCTTCCCTTGACAGACTTGGCAAACAAAGAGAAAATGGCTGTTGATTTCATCCAAAGCTGGAGTTTTGGTAAACACAAACTATTAAAATATAAGGGAGTTTAGGGCTTAGGCAAAAATGCCTAAGTAGACTGTGGAATTTAAACTATAGAAGGAAATAAGTGAAAGAAAAGGAAGAGTTGCTGATCCAGGAGAAAGTTGGGGTAGGAATGGTCAATGGGCCAGAAATCCAAACAGCGACAAAGAATGGTCATAGTTGAAACTGAAAGGTAAATTAGGTCATGAGGGTGCATAATCAAATAATTTTAGAGGAAGAGTACTTATGGATGATCACAAGGTATGACCACTGGACTTGGTGGCTGAATAGAGTGAGGAAAATATCACTGGGAATGAGGACAAAAAACTAAGGAGCTAAGATGTTATATTGATCATCCATGTGGACCTTGAAATCACCCAGCATGATGGAATGGCTTGGAGTAGAGGGAAAGATCAGGAGTCAAGCGCCAAAGTGTATCATAAATAACGTGAGGAGGAATAACCTGAAGGAACATAGGTTTTTAAAGAGAGTGGAGGAATAATCGTCTGGAAGCAGCAATGGGGAACATGGCACACTTATTCCATTCCTGACTTGGTGCTACCAAAGATGTGGGAATATAAACATTCCCCAAATGAAAAGTGGTATTCCCTGTAAAGGGATAGTTGCAGAGAACTAGGTTTAAGGGTTCAAGAGATTGGGGAGATCCAGGAGGCTAAGTCAAAGAGGCAAGGAGGTACACACATTATAGGGACAATGTTGAGAATAGATGCCTCAGTGTCTTAAATTTTGGATAATGACATGAAGTAAAGGGAAATTATTTGCCTTAGACTTCTAAGACATAAAGGATGAACGGCATGGAGGATTTAAATTCAGTGGTGTCTGTGATAAGAGTGAGCATTGGACCTAGTACACTGAAGATCATGGTTACTTATCAGAACTTTTCACTTTCTTCCCACTGGTATATTTTCTCTTTATATTTCTTCTGTAAACTACTGATTCATTATTTTGCTAATATCATGTTTGCATATTTCTCCCTCTTGCTAATTTGCAGGGTTCTTTATATAGTGAAAATATTGGTTCCTTTTACAACAAAGTAATACATTTTGACTTTTAATTTTATGATATTTTTAGTATAAAACTTTTAAAAATGTATATACAACAAAGTTTATCAGTTTTTACCTTTATGGTTTCTGCTTTTGCTGTCACTGGTATTACGGTCTGCAAGGAAAGTTCTGATTCTTGCTCTTCAAGAGAGGAAATGGAAAAGGAACAGAAATAGAGATGATAGTCTATCTTTGCACTTAGCTTCAACTGTCTTTGCTTAGCCAGGCTGATATAGATCATAACCCAAATATGCAAGTAGCTAATAAAGCTTTTTGAAAGCAAAATAAATAGCCTGTATTCAAATTTCCATATCTGCAGAAAGGTGCATAGAGTATTATCATAAAGGCGATAGAGCTTTTCTGTTATAACAGAAACATAGAAATGCAGTAGCTGGAAAGACATTAATTATTTCTCACTCCGGTTAGTCTCCTGAAGTGAGCATCCCAAGTTGTTAGGTGGTTTTGTAGCTTGAAGCCTAAAAGCTTATCCTATCTGTGTGGTTGAAGCTGGGAGAAAAGGAAGACAAAAACAAGAAGCCTAAGGCAAGCAATTTCCTTAAGCAAGAAGGTGGAAGAAATTGAACACTTCAGCTCATGTTGCATTGATAAGAATTGGGTCACCTGTCTAGACGTAGCTATGAAGGAGGCTGAGAATGTAGTCTCTAGCTGGATTTTCATGTGTGAAGATAAAAGGAGAACTGATTTGGGGAATACAACAAGCAGTCTACCACATCTGGGAAAGTGGTGTGAATCTATCTAAAAAATGAAGTGCAGTGTTTACTAAGAATTTCTCCTGAATAGAATTAAATGTTTCACTTACTTTGAAAATTACCTTTAAAAAAAACTCCAAAATTAAAAGGAAATGTCTGCATCTAGAGAAAAGATTTAAAGTTCTGTGTACTTATATTCCCTTTTACTCCCTAAAATTTCTCTTCAGATACACACTCAATGACAGAAACCTTGGTCGGATTGTCACGATAGCAGAGCCATTCAACACTGAACTACAGCTCTGGCAGGTATGAAGATAAAAACCTCTAAACTTGTCTTAGAAGAAAAAAAAATTAACTTTTCTAAAAGAGAAAAAGTATTTTCTCTATTTCAATTACAGAAGACAAGGAGAAAGAAATTATGGTATCTAATTAAATGTATAACTGTTTTTTTCCTAAACTGAAAAAAACTCAAATAAGAAACAAAGTTTAAAATCTGAGACATGCAAGGCCTCCAGAGCTTAGAAGTCTGCATGAAGCCATGCAGGTTACCACCAACGCATGAACAGTATATCTCCCCTTTCCTGGTAAATGTTACCTTGGAATAAGTTGGTCAAGATAGCATTCCTTTCAGAATTCATAGTTTTGGAATTTCAAAACTAAACCCAAATCTTTTAGGTTTCAAATATCTCAGTTCCTGAGGGGAGCGGGGGCCGGGGGGGGGAATGTATATTAATGTTGGACACACTGTATGCATTTTCATTATTTGTGTAATTAGAAATTGGAATGCTAACATTGCTCTCTGTGTTAAGAAACAAAATAATTCTTATTTTTGTAAATAGCAAATAATACTATGGTTGAGTTTTGGGGAGAGATTTGGAGGCAAGTGGGAGGACAGAACCAAGTTTAACAGTTTTTTGTGTTTTGTGGGGGGGGGGGTTTTTTGAGTCCTTAATGTGTAAACTGAAAGTATATTAAAATGCTTCAGACCCTAGGAGTGAAAGGCTAAACAAAGCCATCATTCCACAGACCAGATTTTCCAAAGACCACCCTGAGGAATGCACAGAAAATAGAGAAACTAGCATAAGCAGGAATGGGCATGCCAGATGTTATTATACTCTGCTGCCCACTTTCCCCAATGTGTCAGAGCCCCTTTTGGCTTGACACGTTGCCAAAAGCCATGGGTGCTAATGGCTAATCTGAGAACTATGTTCAATCCAAATGATGCATCAAGAGATGCATCTCAATGTTGAGTAGTGATACTAAATTTCCAGATAAGAAGGAAACAAATCCAGTTTTGTAAATGAAATTCTTGAAGAATAATTGGGCTTAATATGACTCTCTTATTTCCCTTTCTTTTACAGATAGAGAGCTTTTTCAAAAAATATCCAGAAGCTGGAGCAGGAGAAAAACCTAGGGAGCAGGTTCTGGAAACAGTGAAAAACAATATTGAGTGGCTAAAGCAAAATAGAGAGAGTATAAGAGAATGGTTTGTTAATTTACCTAGAAATAGTTAATGCGTTCAAATATCACATTTTAATTTTGTAAATCTATTGTTTCTGCTATTAGTCATCTGGTGGCCTAATTCATAAGCACTGTGGAGGGAATCTTATACATAGACACTGCTTTTGCTAAGCATTATGTTTTATGTCTTACAAAGCTCTAAAATTGTTTGTCTTTGTTTATGAAGGAAGATACTAATAGAGTAGTTAATGTACTCAGGGATTTCTTCTAAGTGTTTCTTCTTCATAGGAGATTCTTCACAAACTGAAGAGAATTTAATAGCCATTTTTATGTCTTTAAATACCATTCTTTGTATGTTAAATCTGTGAAAATAGAACAATTTGGTCTTAGCTTTACATTTTTAGTACCAAAGAAACACCACTAATCTTTTCTCTTGATTGATTTTTAATGTTTAGATAGCAGTACTTGAGGGACCAATATTACCATTTTAATCTTTATTTTACTATTCAGAATTACACAGATCTAATATCATTTTATTCACATATGTCTTATTCCTTTAAATCCTACCAAAGTAACTGGGCTTAAATTTTACTCAAGGATTGTATGAATTAGCCCCCCAAAATGGCTGACTGTTGCCATTGCTTTTATAAAATCAACAAAAGAACTCTCCTCTCCTTTTTAAAATAAATCTGAATGATTACCTTGAAAAAATATATATTGTTTTTCAGTGTCACTTTACTCTTGAATAATAATGACTACAATGTTCCCCAAATAAATTATCATGATGCAAATATGATTCAAACCCTACCTTTTTTGTGCTTGGTACTCTGTCAACTTGTTCCATTCCCTGCAAAGCTCCTCAAATAGTCTATGAAATTAGAGGGAAGATAGTGCTTAACTCTCCTCCATGGAATTTAGAGGGAAAAGGTTAAATAATTGGAAAATGGTTAAGAAAAAGTGAAGGCTGATTATTCTATAGAACTAAATGGAATTAGAATTTAGCTTCAAACGAACCTAGCAATCTAAGTGTGAAAATGAGGAAACACATGGATGTCTCCAGCATGACTCTGCATATCTGAGGATATATCTTCTTATAGTAACTTTTATGTATAAAACCCTACCTTAATCCATACAGAATAGCATGGATCAAATTTATGTTCGTGACTTGATTAAAGACATCAGTTATGTTTAATATGGTACTTGATACCTAGTAGAACCACAATTTAAGTCCAGTAAGCAGAAAAGACAGTAAATTACTGTTTTAATCTGCTATATCTAGAAAATCTAAATTTATTTGAACCTTCAGAAGTATAAGACAATTTAAGATTGGCTTGATGATAACTGAAGCACATAAAAACAATAAAAATCTTAGCTTTAATTTTATTTACATAATAATGTACCCTAATCAAGTTCTCTCAAACTTTGTAAATTTTCTTATTGCTCTCTCTTAGTTATCATTTCTCAATCCACATAGCTAAACTGACAAATTCAAATGTAGACTGGGAAGAAATAAAATGATAAAAAAGAAGAAATTCCCCAGACCAAAACTTTAAAATGTTATTTGAAATTACTTCAGAAGAGGGCCGGCCGAGTGGCGCGATGGTTAAGAACTCGCTTGGGATGCCAGAGAGCCCCGGTTCGGATCCCACATATGAGGGCCAGTGACACTGCCCTCCACAGCTAAGATGCTGAACAACAGCTCA